ATGATTATGTTTTTTATTAAATCGATCTATACAGGTATTATTAAAAGTTCATATAATCAAAACCATCTTTTTCTCCTTTCTCATCACTATAAGTAGTATCACTAGTACCATTAACATCGGGAAGCTATGTCATTATGAATACCCGGGATATCAAGACAAACACGTCAATGAATTAGTCCGCAAATCAATAGCAGATTATCGATGATTCATGATCTTTTTTTTTCTCTATCGAGGGAATAAAAGATAGATTGAGAAAAAAATAACGAACACAATAACTAAAAACTGTGTTTAACTCAACATCTAATTATTTATCATTATCATTTCAAAAATAAATATAAATTGTAAACAAAATATCTTTATTATCACTTATGAAAATGAAACGCTTAATTACAATCGATGTATATACATACACACACACAATGTCGGACATTGTGTATGTATTTTGCATTCTTCATTCTTCCTTACATGCTCACTAACAATAGAATAGATAACTATGGGAAGCAAAGAAGAAACAAAATGGATGAAAATTATATCGTCAATAAGCAATAGACAGAATAGAAAGATATTACTCTCCGGTCATCCATAAATAACATCCATATCCATATCCTTCAATGCAATTATCAAAATGAAAACAAGAGAAAAATGCTGAAAGATCTAATATTCTTTACTTGAGAGAAAAATATCACATTCGACGTTTGACTAGAAAAGAAATACAAATACCAGTCAATACTATTGATGATATTGCAAATGAATATTGAATAAATAATGAATGTTTAAACCAATGAAATTTTTCTATTTTATATAATGGATGATTAAGATAATCTTTTAATATCCGACGTTGACATTGTTCCGATTGAAATAAAAGATAAATTTTGTTTAAATTTCGATTGATTTCATATTCCATTGAACAATAAGAATTAAAATGTGATATTATATCTGACATATCAAGTTGTTCTTTATTATGTTTCTCTAAAACAAGACATTGTTGTAATTTCTTCTTATATTTTTTGTTAATATCATATCGATTTAATGATATATATGGAATAAATATGGCATAAAAACGATTTTTATATAGTTGAATTTCATTGAGACATATATCAAATATGGATTGATGTTCATTAAATTCAATTTTATTGAATTTTTTTTGTTTATATAAATAAATTAATTTAAGAAATACTATACCAGACATATAAGCATCATAACCAGCTTCATGTTTCTAAAAATGAATCTTTCGTAAAAATATATACAAAATATAAATTTACCCAAACTTCATTTTTATATCGATCTGTTGAAGTTATTTCAATAATTGGTTTTAAAAAAACCAAATTTTCATAATATTTCGATATTAATAAATCATATAAAGATGAAAGTGATGTTGACATTGATAAAGTTTCAACATAATTACTAATATTTGAACGATTTTGACGTGTAAATAAATATTGTTTCATTTCTAATGCAAGATATTTTGTATCAAACATTGAGAATAAAAAATTCTTATTCATTAATGTATGAAATTCTTCAAATTTTAATGGTAGATTATCAATGAATTTATCATAAATAATTAACCAATCAAGAAAGCAATTATGTCCTTAAACGATATGAAATGATTTTGATTAAAAAAAATAGATTATTTAACATATTTTATTCATAATATTTATTTTTTTTCTACAATGTTAAGTGTAGAACGCGAACTTCTTTGTGTGTGTGTGTGTGTGTGTGTATAAAGTCTACTTAAGTAAATGAATCGCAAATTCCTTGAGGCAAAGGTTAGCTTCTTGTAGCTTTATCATCTATTACGTTAACATCTTTTATTTTTGTAAGTTAATTGATAGTTTTATGTTGATTACTTAAAATATATAACGCGTAATAGTAAACCTCATGTATTTAGGATCTGTATAGAAAAGAAAACTGATTAGCAGAAATGATCGTCATCGCGTTGTATTAATTAAATAGATCTCTCTTCAAAATAAGAAGAATGCTTTTCTTCGTCGGATACTTCAAACTATCTGCTAGAAAACATCTTTGAAAGGTTTGTTTGAATGTAGAAGATACTTACACAACAAAGAAAACTACCCCTCGATTTTTTGTTCATTTTTCTTCTATGTTTGCGACAATTCTTTTTTAGAATGCTAGAGATACATCTCTCACAACGAAGGAATCTATCAGATAATTTAATTGATAAAAAAAGTAGTTAATAATACTCTAGCCAAAATGTCATCGCTCTATGCTTGGAAAAGCCAATAAACTGATGATTAATTAGTAAGTTTGTGTAATGAATGTTTTTCTCTTTGATGAAAGCAAAAGACATCTGTTATTGTACGATAATAAAATGAAAATTTTTTAAAATGTAAGTCTAACTAAGGTTAAAAATTCAATAAAGAAAATTGAGTCTATTATGAAAATCTTGATTCTATAATTATTTGTCATTTCCATAGAGAGCGGAAGAAAGTTAATTTAGAAGAAGCTCGAGAAGAAAAAAAAATGTTCAAATACATGACAAGATGTAGTAAGAATAGATAGTAATTTACTTTGTAAAAAAATTTTTTTTCTTCATAAGAGACATACTTCCAAGTATTGTTAACAACTATGATAGAGACTTTCTACTGTGTAGTATAGAACAGGATAAACTAAGATGACTGTTAGTCCTTGATTGCTTTTCAACAAGTGATAAGACAATCTTAAGTCTGTAAGAGATAACAGCTGCTTGACAGAATTCTCGAGTTGCTGTACAACATAAAAGATATGTTTTAGTAGCAATTTAACTACAACAAAAAAAAAGAGTGCAAACAAGACTCTTCTGACCTACTTAGTATTACGTAAAAAATGATGGATTTTTATTTGTACATTGATAGTCAATAAAAGTCTCTATTCTCTATACTCATTTATCTTTGTAGTTTCAATAAAAAATGCTTATCTATTTTTATCAACTAACCTACGATTGTTTTTCTATAATTATCTCGTATATATCGTATAAGTTTTGTAAAACCAATTAATGATTGAATAAATAAATAAAAATCATCATTATTATTTTCCATTCTTTCTTCATAGATTTCTTTCGTAATATGTTCAATAAAAAGTATTTTTTTTTGTTCAACTATTTGTATATTTGTCCAAATTGTTTTAAAACAACGACGTATTTCTGAATGAATTAAATAATCATTTAAAATATCTTTTTCATTATTATTTAATTCATATTGAATTTTATCACCAAGATGAGCTGTTATTAACCATTGATTGATTTTTTCAAATAAAATATTCAAATATTGTCGTTCATTCATTGATAA